AGTAAAATAAAATAGTGTAAGATTAAAATAAAAAATAAATTATTATCTATCACTGAACATAGTATGCAATAAAAGGTAAACATAAAAAATATCTTATGTAACAAATAATAAAAATCAGAGTAGAAATATAAATGTAACAAATAAATCCAATTAAATCTTGAAGCCTTTAATTATTTATTCATACAATTTTCTCTTCAAAGAGTAAAGTAATAGTAAAAAATTTCGATTCATATGATTCAAAATGAGAATCTAATCTGTCTATTTGTTTTATCTATAGACAGATTATAGATTATGTATTCGTTTTGTTCTATTTTCATGTGCATGATCGAAGTGAGGGATATGTCTCTGACAAAAGATTTTACGCATCTCATAATGCCAACCTTTTCCTTAAGTTTTCTATTTCTTAATTTCACATATACAATTTAATTAATAGATAAATGAGGAACGTAGTAATAAGCTCATTAATCCATATTTTCGCTCCTTTTTAATCGCGGACGTTCTAGAGAGCTCGTCTGCATGCACCCAAGGCTTGCCACGTGTAGTCTAACTCAAAACTATATAAATTAATAACTTTATAAAATTAAATACCTTAGCATGTGCCATCTACGGAATACTATAGAATTGTAGCATATATATATATTTATTTATTTTCGAAAATTATGTTCATCACTAATTTTTTGAAAACTTACTTTTCACGACACATAGATCGGAAATTACCACTATCTGATCCGAGAATATTTTATCTCATTAATTATATAATTTGGCTTCAACCTAATTATTGGTGAGAACAAGAGAAAAATTAATCGTTAATTATTTATATTATTTCCAAATTAATTGTTGGATAGGTTGGTATTTTATGTGAAGTTTGTTCTTATTTTCGAAAAAAAAAATATTTGTGTGTTTTGTGTCAGAATTGAGCACGTTCAGTTATTACGACATTACACCTAACTCACGAGCTATAAATGCAGTGAATTATCTTCAAACAACTCTAGCCTCTATATAAAATATACCTTATTATCTTATTAATTTCTAATTTATTTATTTTTTCTAGCTTCTCACTCGTTTTTGTACTGGATACAGCATGCTTTGACATCCAATACGGAGGACTACGTGTTAGTTCATGATTTGATTATGATTATAAGAGTCTTATATGATCCACCGTACTTAATTTATTGATAACCAATAAAAACCATCATATTTCTTCGTCAAAAATCATACAACATTAAAAGTAATAAAAATATATGAAAAAACAATTCACAAATTAATAATGGCATTTATTAGGAATATCTTTATTAATGATATTCAATACTCAATTCAATTCATCAGTTTCAAAACATGTTTATTTGATAATAATAAAAAAAACACCCTCTCATAGATTAGATGGTGTTATTGTCTCCTTTGTCCGTTTGAAATGAATCTTCCGATTTTAAATCGATTTATTGACCAAAACCAATCACTGATATATCATCTATCATATATATATTCTGAATAAATGAAGGGAGGAGATTAATTTCTAATCAAAGACAGTAAATAGAGCCAAAAAGAGGTTAATGAAGAATTTATATTTATCCCAACCTAAAAAAAAAGTGAAAAATGTAAACTATTACACCAATAAGAAGACTTTGACTTGCTTTCTCGACCTGTCTCTTCTGATTTTAATTTCTATTTCGAAATAAATAATGTATTAATTGACAACTATTTATATATCAAATGATGTTTAAGCTGCTAATGAGTCGTCAACTCTTTTTTTTTTCTTTCAATTCTTCTCTAAATAAATCATAAACATGAAGAATTTTTAATACTTCCAGCATCATTTTTTCTTTTAATAATCAATAAAGATAATTTAATAAATTATTTCACTCATTAAATTTTTTATTTGTTCTTTCCTGACAAACAAATTTCAATGTTACTTTTTGAAATGGATGGAATATTAGACAAATGATGAATTAATTACGAGATACCATTGTGAACTTAAATATAAAAAGGATAATAATATCTTAGTAAGAGTTTGATGAATGACTTAATTGATAAAATTAAACGTTATTGCTAAAGTCCTTTTGTCCCTTCTTGTTGGCAGCAGTCTTTCTTTGATAAGTTTTATACAACCCTGACATTTCAAATTTTTAAAACTTGTGACGTGATATGATTATTTTTTTAGTTGAATTTTTATTAAAATATTTTATTTATTTAGTATTTAATTTTTTTTATGTTTTAATTAAGTTTTTTTACTTAAATTTCTGATAATTAAATTAGTGTCATTTTATTTTTGTTATTTTACTTATCTTTATGTATTAAGATATGTAAAATGTAAAATGATGAGTAAAATAAATATGTTGAATAATAAAAGCAGCCCAGTCAATGACGGTGATGAAAATATAATCCTTAATCACTGTAAATAATGTCGTAAAAGTTATTAAAAATATATAATAATATCATTATCTAACACGTTTTCTTATAAAAAGTAACAAAAATTAGTCATTGTTTTTCATTTCTAAAACGGAAATTGTAGCAATCATCTTTTATTTTAGTTTAGATATTTTAAATTAAGTTTTGATTAAATATTTACAAAAATTATAGTTTTCAATTGATATTTTACATATTAATTTTCATGTATATATGGAATAAGATAACAAAATAAAAGTTATATCACCAAGTTAACAAAAATAATTTAATTATAAAATATAAAAATTTTAAGCACGCAATAAAAGAAAAATAAAAACACAATTACAAATATATAAAATTATGAAAAACTAAAAAAGTTAATTAAATTTTCATTTTCTTATTTATATATTGAAATAAATAAAATCTATATTGGGTTAAGTCGGAAGATTATTTTAGTGTTATTAAAATAAACCACTCGTTTTAATGCAGTTCGGTCCAATACAAATTGACCACTCAGTGAAGCAATTCAACTCGACTTACGTATTTATGAATCTAAAAAATTTGAACCAATGAGTTAAATGGGTTGACTCATTTAATAACAAGTTTTATTTTTTCTTCAATTCCAAAAATAATAACATTTTTTTTAATTGAAATCTAAATGAAGTTAAATTCAAATGATATTAATAATAAAATTTAAAAATAACAAACTGCATGGGTTGATGAGTCAACCTGACTCACTATAGGTTGATAATCTAAAAAATTAATAAATTTTATAATATAATAATATAACTTAAAAAAAACTGGATGGTTTGATGAGTCAAACTTCATCACGATTTTAATTTAGGTGAACGATATTTTTGACGTGTCTGATTCAAAATTATCATATCAATTTCTTTTTAAATATAACCTATCTTAAACTTGTAATAGGCCAAATTCAGTTATGGATTTGAATCCGATAACACTAAGATTTTTCATTTTTTCAATAAAAATATTTAACAAAGCATTGAGGCCAATTCTCGTAAAACAATAATATATTAGGTTTATTTTACTTTTTCATTTGACTTTACTTATGACTTAAGGTGAAATTTTAATATTTATTTCTTGAAATTACGTTTATCATATTTCTTTTTATTAGTATATGTACTATTATATTTGAAGAAAAGTCAAAAGAATAATATGATGTAAATAATATTGATAGGAATAATATACATATAAGAGATTCGACTTAATAATTTTTCAATATAAAGATTAAAAAAACACATTTCTCCAAGTAATAGAAACAAGAGTAACTAAACTAGGTGTAAACGAAGAGACGGGTTTCCAGAAATCCAGCATATATTCTTCATATCTTCCAACAGTTTCTGGTCTGATCACCAACCAATTAAATCAAATTGACGAAAGAACAGAAGGCAAAGAACAAACAAGGGGGATATTAAGGTACAAACTGAATGACATTATTAAAATTGTTCCTGGTTCATGTTTGGTTAACTTAATTTGGAGATACGGTAAGATATGTGTTTTGTCATAAAACATTCTTAAATCGTAGCTGGGTGAAATTATTGGAAATGAGGGGGGATGCACCCTACTAACTAAAACATGCGAAGTGGACCCTTGAATCATAATCTGCAAAATTTGACACTTAACTCTATTCTCATGGCAGGCACCATAGCTCTTTATATTTTATACGAGAAGAAGAAAAGAAGGAAATGGTGGCTCAAGTGACCACTGTCGTCATTGTATGTTTGTTGTGGATCACGAATTAATAAAAGATGGTGGAAATATGGGGAGTGGAGGAATTAGGAGGGTGCTTTTGGCTCTTTCTTTTGGGAATTATAAAGAAACTTAGAACGAGGCATCTTCGCACATGGGTGTAGTCAGATTTTCAGATTGGAAAATTGTTTCTCAAAGGGCTTTCTATTTAAGATTATTTTCTTGTTTTATTGCCAATAATATCCTAACCCACTTTTTCAAATACAGCTTAACTAGAAAGCATCTTTTATCAGTGGGTCACTCTAACCTCAATGGGTAAACCATCCTACTCCCTTCTCTTTCCCTCCTCTTTCCATTTTTTAAACATTCTCTTTAACCAATAAAACCTCCTCACTTCTTTTACTTCTAAGATTAACACCATAATCTCTCTTTTTAAATTACAAAAATACTTAGTAAAATGGTATTTAATATTTTCTTAGAAAAAGGAGCGCAGAGATTTTATGACACGCCTGGCTATAGCTATAGGCTATAAGGTAAAGATCCTTAAATTGTGCATTACTCAATACAAACATGCCACTCATGATTTTGCCCTCAACTCCATCAAGCAATTGAAGGAATCCACAATACATTTTTCTGTTGACCACTGTTTCTTTACATTTACCAGCTCTATTTCTTAGGCGTGCTTTTCATTTTCTTAAGCCAAAAAAATAAATAAATAAAATAAAATTCTACACTTTGCATAAAACCAGTCTCGATTTTACATGTGTCATAGGTGAGTTTCTTCCTCAAACGTAAGTCTTCTTTTGGTGCAAAAAGAGGAGACAGTTGTTTGGTAATTATTAGGAAGAGGAAGGGCACAGTGTCAGCGGGCTATTATAAAAGAGCACCACCACCCTCTTTTCCAATCCCCCACTCCCACTCCCAATTTTCCTTTTCCTTTTCTCACACACTCCAAACAAAACAGTGGAGAGGGAAAATGGCAATCTCAATGTCAGAAGGGGGACTTGCAAAATGTACCAGAATCCGGCACATAGTCAGGCTCCGCCAAATGCTGCGGCGCTGGCGTAGCAAGGCCCGCATGTCGGCCCACCGAGAAGTACCCTCCGATGTTCCGGCGGGACACGTGGCGGTGTGCGTGGGCAGTAACTCCAGGAGATTCGTGGTGCGCGCCACCTACCTGAACCACCCCGTGTTCACGAAGCTACTTGTAGAGGCGGAGGAAGAGTACGGGTTCTCCAACCACGGTCCTCTCACCATTCCCTGCGACGAAACACTCTTCGAACAGCTCCTCCGCTTCATTTCACGCTCCCATTCCCCTCCCTCCAATCGTTTCGACGACTGTCACGTCCCTCTCATAAACAACCTCGACTTCTGCCTCCAATCTCGACCAATACTCCACTGAACCAAACCCAACACATTCACATAACAAAAAACAACAAAAACAAAAACAACAACATTGTTTCAGTGCGATTCGGCGGAGAATGCTGAGGAGATGGCAAAGGGTTCCCACAATGGTCCACCCAGTCGTCCCGGCTTCCGGTCCCAGTTCACCCTATTGCTTTTCAACCTGTATATTTTCACTATTATTAATATTATTACGTTTGTCACCAGTAATAATTCATGCAAATTCAAGTGGATTTCGCCACGCTCAATTATTATAGATTCTCCCTCTGTTTGTTTTTTAGCACGATACAATCATAGAAAGACGGAGCAAACGAGACTTATCAGTAGCATAGCATCAACCCACGTGAAGGAAAAAGCAAGCACCGTGCCTCAAAGTACACGTTTAATCATGACTCATCGTCCCAAATTTCTTTCTCTATCTCGATCATCACCTCCGCAATTTTGCTTCTTTAGTTAGTTAACTTCTTATATCACTCGCAACAATTTCTCAATTTTTTTACCTTATACAAATATTTAATTTAAATCTAACCTATATTATAATTTGGTTTCATTTATAACGAGGTAAGATTTCCAACAAAAATAAATTAATCTCAAATAAATGTAAAAAGATTTATATTTTTCTTGATTGATTCACAATTTCTTTGTTAAAAACTGGATTTAAAATTGAAGAATATGAGTGGGGTAGGGTGTCTTATAAGAATGGTTACGTCAGGTGGGAACAAAAGCAAAAGAAAAGACGAAGATAACTGTAGAAAGGAAAGACTTTACATGTGGTAGACACGTCATCACTTTACTAATCACAGTTATATGTTCCTACGAGCTAAGTCAGTTTAGACTTTAGACTCTCTACTTTTTTAGCTTAAATGTAAATATAATGTGATAAACATTTTTTTCCTGTATATAGAAGGTTTTGTGTGTCAGCATCGTTTGCAAAAAATGAACAACCGATTTGTAAAGCAAACATGTCTTTAAGTTAAACAACACACGATACCTCTAATAACGGATTAACTCTTTAAATATGCCGCTTAACTCAGAATAACCTTTTTTTATTTCTCCTCTTTGACGGCTTAAAAAAATAAATAATGTAAACGATCGACTAACGGTGATTGTTGATTATGCATATAAGTTAATTTTAATCTGTGAAAAGTTTTATTTCACTTTCTTTTTCTACTTACACAATTTCAAAAAATAATATTAATCAGGATATCACATGGTCATGTTAAAGAGAAATCAATTAAGGATTTTTTTTATTACGTATATAATGAGAAGTTTGAAACATAAATTTTATAATTGAAAGAAAAAGTAGTTCAACACAACTTTTTGAAGCAGTTAAAATGCTACAAAGCTGGGTATTGGAGGGAAAACTTCGTTTTGTTTTTGTTTTTTTTCTATAAATTTTACCAATACGTGTCTCGAGTAAGGAGAAATTAAACTAAAAGTGTTCTCAATATAGTTTATTTAATATTTTCACATTACGTGCTTACGAGCACACTATATATAGACAGCTTCATCGATGAGAGAGATAAGTAGGAGGAGATTAGGGATACAATTATAGGAACTGTTAATTAACATCAAACTATAGGCATTAAAAGTAATAATAAATAGGTTTTCCTAGTGAAAATTAGATACTTGAAATTTTCTAAGAGACAAAACAGTTTCCAGTGTTAATTAGAAGCTTTCATTGCAGATTGGGAGTGGTTGGCAAATGCGATTTGCCGTTTCTATTTAGGGTTTATAAATTATATTTATAACTAAATAAAGGTAATAAATACATAAGATAAAAAAAGGGTAAATTTGTGATGATTGGACTGATAACGGATATTGTAAGTGGAGGAGTCATGTTTTCAATGGTTCAATTGCAAAACTTACAAAACCTATTTCATAGAGATGGACCATATATCAAAAAGAGCGTACTAACGAAGCCTATATACTTAGATCCACAGATCAGAACCATCAAAACATGAGCTTGATATGATTTACGATGAGTTGTCCTACGCTTAAAATAGACTCTTCAATAATTCAACAACAAATCACCAACAGTATCTTTATTCCTTTTAGCATAAGGACTACCTAGGTTATTAGACCAAATTCCTTATGCTTGTTATTCTCGATAAATTAGGGTAATGTTGAAAATATTAAAAGTTAATAGAGGATTAAAATACAAGTAATAAATGTTTATGGGAAAATAAGAATTGAATGACATTTACTAACTCGTGAAAAGTGTGGGCTATTTTAAAAAGTAGAAAAGTGCGCGTTGATAAATAGTATATTAGCCAAAACCAGTAAACCTCAGTGTAGGTTGTGGATATTCCTGCTAAAAATGATGAAATTTGAAATGATGCACATGACTTTGTCTATATAACATGGAATGTGTTCATCATGCTCTATTCCAGTTAAATAGTTTGTACAGTGAAATAATAAAATTGAAAAATTAGGATTGTGAATGGAGCCTCACATGAGGGACGAAACCGGTAATTTTTTGGGCTTGTTCTTTTGAGTGGATTTGAGGGAATGAATTTGAGGAGATTTGAGAGAATTTGAAGATAATTTTTTTTATCGTTTTTTTGAGCGAATTTGGAGGTAAATGAGAGTGAATTTGAAAATAAAATTTGTGAGAATTAGTATAGAATCTAATGATTGGACATCTTCAAAGTTTATGATAACTTGTTTATGTTGTTTTATCTATAATGTTCAAAAGAAGAAGCAACATGCACTGTAAAAAGTGTATCAAGTGAAACAGAGTGAGATGTTGAATAAGCAACAGTGCTCTGAGATCCAAAACTTTTGGTCAATGCAATCATGCGATAAAAGGAATGGAACAGAACAGTTATACAAGAGATGCCAATTTTTTAAGACCTCTCTGTCTAAAAATAAAATGTGGAAATTTATTTTAAATTCAAAATTAGCATAATCCATTTTTTTTTATTTTATTCTATCAATTTTTTTTTCAATCTTATTTTATTTTATTTTATGTTGGGGGCGTCAGAGTGATACTGGGTTTGGCCCATTTTTTATAATTTTGAAACTGTTAATATCTTACTGAGACTGGGCTCGTCCCTTTTTAACCTTTTCCTGATATTTCTTTTTACACCCCATAAAAGCCGTGGCCCACCACTTCGAATTTGCTGACAGATACCTGGGCTCGTGTCATTCTTCTTTTCAGGTAATATATAAAATAATGGATTTAGTGAAATAAAGATTTGAGTTGGCGTAAGAAATAAATTTTAAATTTTATTAAATTATGTACGTATCTTAGTTTATGTTATACGTACTTTACTTTTGTGTATATTTAAATATAACATTAACATAATAAATAGTATCAAATTATAGAAGAACATATGTTTTCATGATTATAATGAACTAAAATAAAGTTTTAATGTGAGAGGGTTCGACGTGACTCACTTTTTATCTTTAAATTTTTGGAATACAAGTTGTGATGATCTAATAATTTTAAAACTATTAAAAATAAAAACAGTTTAATTGATTGAACAATTGTTTCATTGATTAGGAAAAGAGAGTTAAATTAAACATTTTAAGCAACATTTTATCAGATCAAGTAGACTTGGACTCGAATATATGATGTAATTAGTGTATCAGATTTTAGTTCAATAGTTGAAAGAATATAATTAGGAAGGAAGACCTCGTATAAAGTGATAAGAAAAATGAACAACCCTTATGATACGTAATAAGAAATTTATTTCTTTAAAAAATTTCTTAGTCAAGAATAAATTTTCAAGACATTAAAATCTAACTAAGAAGTGGACTTCTACTAAATATTCTTTTGTACAGATACGGATTTCGGGATTAAACCCTTGATTAAATATTTAAAAAGAAAAGAATTACCTCACTTAATTAATTGAAGTTTACGAATCGTTTGATACGTAATATTTTAAATTTGATTGTGTATATAATAAAAATAAAAGGTGGAGCAGCAAATAGTTTTTGATCGATTGAATGTCTCCATCTATGCAGAATCCAACTCGTAATTGTAATGATTTTTATGAGTAATTGTGTTATGATTAGTTTGGGGTGTGTATGATGTTGATATCTTGGAATTATTTTGGGGTCTTTTGGAGAATCCCCTTATCTCGTATAGTTTGTATGTCTAATGAATACTAAAAATGATTATAAAAGACAAAGAACGTAAGTCAAAAGTAATAGGAAGAAAATTGGAGAAATTCATAATAAGAAATGATCGAATTTGGGTCCCCCAAGGGTTGAGGATTTTGGACCCACCCTTTTCATTGTACCACTAAGATAAGAATCACAACATTGCTTTTGTTCCATTCTTTGTGATTAAAAATATCATTTCTTTACTTTCATCATGAAAAAGGTCTTTGATTTGGACAAATGTGTTTGATTATTGTTTCAATGGATAACAATTAAACTTCTAATCTGGTTGTTAGCTCGTTTACTTCACCACTCCCTTTTTCTTTTTTTCCTTTTTCTTTTCTGTGTGGTGACACCATTTAAAGGGTTTGCTTGTTAATAAGTTTTTCCACCTCTCGTCAATTTTTTATTGGTGAATGGCTTTCCATCAATATCTTTAATTTAACAACGACACAATTAAATCCAACCATTTTGTTTAAAGAGACAAATAGGAAGCATGACACGAAGGAATTACCAAATTTTAGAGAATGACATTAACAAAGAAATAAGTTTGGAGAGAGATTAGGACTTTGGAGCACATAAAAATTAGTAGGAAAGAGATTTTCCATCACTACACTAATAAGCTCGCATGTCAATGGAAGAAGCTTCAAGAAAATGACTGTGAGAAGTTAAAAGTCAAAATCACATACACTAATACAACATACACACTAATTCATTGCATTCAACTTTGGTTAACACGTACCAATTCAGCTTAAAGAGTAGATTCACCATAATCACATTTTGGCTAATACATGTAAATTCTTTCTATTTTGGCGATTGATATCATGTAAATTCTTTATATTTTCTTCTCTCTTTCAAATCTAACGAAATATTCAAGCTTTTCCACTAGAAAAATATTTAAATTACATGAAATATAAATAATATGCGATAATGAAATTTATGTAAAAGTTAGAGTTAAAGTAACTTTTGATTCCATTCTTGCAGGTCTTGAAATTGCAACCTTGCAAACCCAACGTGGTCCCATTCTTTTGATAGCCAAATTTTAAGGAATAGTTTAAAATTTTCTTAAACAAAATCGTTTTAATTTATTAAAAAAAGGGTTAATTTTTTTTAGAATTATGAAATATTGAAGCTATTTACTTTTCA